TTAAGATATCTCAATTTTTACTCGAGTTATCGTGTGCACAGACGGACGGACGGACGGACGGACAGACAGTCACCGCTTAATCGATTTCTCTTTTCATTCTGATCATTTATGTATACATTTGTCTATATCTATCTCGATTCGTTTTGCCTGTTACAAACAACCGTTATGTGAACAAAGTTATAATACCCTTGTGCACAAGTGCGCTCGGGTATAAAAATAACTTGCATAAGTCATATATTAAAGAGATTTCTTCTGAGAATAGTAGCCCGTTTACTGTTGATATATACATACGTAAATATGAACCTACTTTTATCGCCGCACTGCACCGCTCGTGTCCGTTTTCGATCCCATTTCGTTTCAGTCGTGGCCTCATCGTCTTTATCTTTCACTTGCCACAAAGTTCCCCTATTTTTCTCATTGTTCAACACCCAACTTATTGTTAATTGATGTCTGTTTGATTTAGTCCACCTTTTGCAGAGAGCGACGGCAGTCGAGCTCAGTATAAGAAATATACGTGAGAAGTTCCAGATCTCTGATTTCAGTCTACTATAACAAAATGTTTCATTCCGATACGCTTACGCTCTATAGTCTCTGAATTTTTTCCGTAAAGGATGCCGAGGTGAAGAAGACTATTTTACTATGCTTACAAAGCGTAGCCCTGATCCAGATGGCGAAGCAGGGAAGCACTCCTAGCGAATGTCTGACGAGCTACTATGGAACGGATTCGAATGATTCAACACTGGGTATTTACCCCTGTCCCGGTCCTTCAGCGACTTCAATAGTAGCAAATCTAAACAGGAAGAGCCTGTCTACGCCCACTTCTGTTTCCGCAATAAGTTGGGTACTCAAGCGACTAGAATGGGACTGGATCACAACACTTGAGTTGATTGAAAAAATACTGACTTTGAAGGATGTTATGAAGTTGGCACCTAAAGCGTTTCAATATTTCCATTATTCTTGGATTGATGCAACGGCGATCTGCTGGACTGTCTGTTTACCCATTGTGCTTCGGATCTTGCCAGAAACTACTATATCTGGATAAGAAACGAAGCGCAACTTTATTGGACAAATACGGGAAATAACAGACAAGCTAAGTCTTTTATTCCATATATATCAATAACCGAAGCACTCCTTTGCCTCAGTATGTAGAAATGAAGTAAGAATTTGTACAGGTTTTCTTACTGACCATTACAGGATGATAAAACAAGAACAGCTGAGCACATGATGTGCTGCTGTGAAGCTCTTACTAGGACCGGAATTCGCTTCCTAGGATCACCGCACCTGGAAGCACATGACATAAATGGCATTCAGACAAAGTACCTCGCGAGGCTTCTTAGCAATACCTAAATCAAAGAAGACCTGTAGCCAAAAAAAGAGGTTTGTTACATTAGATCGTTTCGGCCCGGTGACTAGGTGACCTGCTCCCTCCTCTAAATTGAATTTAACCTAATCTAGGTGAATAACTCAGTGATATAAAAAATATTTATTCGAGCGAAAAATGGTGGGTAAACACCGTGGCTAATGGTAATCATCATTTACTACCTCTGAAGACTGTAAGTCATGTAGAGTCCGCAAAAAAAACTCCGGAAGCATTGTCCGGAGGAGGCATCAGACTAAGCCGAGCATTGAATATTTCTTTATGTAAGAAGGTGGGTAGGCCCTGTGGCAAATGGTATCTATCCTTTCTGGCTCACTGGTCGACTTACATAGACGACGAGGGGAGCGTCCTAAGCTGTGCACTGTTGGAGTAACTGGACGAGCAATCATAACTCACGGTAGTTATTCCTCTAAAGACTTTGACAATCTAATGAGCACTGGGATCAAGAAACCTGGCGTACATCAGGAACTGGAGTAATTTTTTAACTCGCTTGTGATATTACAAAAGGTCTGCAGCCTAAATAGATGCCGGCTAACTTTTCGTACTTGCAAAATTGCTCCAACGCTTTTAAACCTTTAATGATACATATTTGGCCAGCTAGTCTTAGAGCTTTGTTACTAAATGCTTGAGCTCTCCGCCGCCTCCTTACGAGATTCTCCGAAGGACGTTTAAGGGACATTACAAAGTAATCTATGCCACAAGCATTAGGCTCAACAGCAGGCAATTTATTCCAACTAAGTGCGAATGAGGTGAGCTCGTAATTGCCCTTTCAATTTGTATACGATTAACAGATAAGCAACATACTTAACGCGCCAGCATTTTCGTCAAATCATGCCAGTTTCTATTAGACACATTTCAATTCATGCCCCAACCAATCAAACCTATCAGTCCAGTTCACACAATTACAGCAGTATGTGCAGTCGGCAGGTGTATAGGTATATCGCGCGTAACTCCATTCAATTTTGGTTGTACATAACACTCATACAACCATTTCCGCGTCTATCGAGGCTTACGACTATATTGCGAGTTGGCTGGTTCATATGGCTCATCGTTTTGATATTTGGCAACTTAAGTTATCTCATATCTGACAGTTATGAAAATTTGGGATACTTAGTCGGCTACGCTTCATTCACCATTGATATTTTAACAAATGCAACGATCTTCGTCGAACTTATTTGCAAACAAAAACACTACCAACGACTTATACAACTCGAATACGAAGTGGATGCATTACTGCAGCAGCAAACTGACATCAATTCAATTGAGTCGAATGTATGGCGCAAAGTATTCTACCAACTAATCATTCATACCACCTGCGATGCCTTACATCTCGTCGTTGCAGCCATGTATTACAAGTCGCCAGTGTTCTACTTTAATATTCCATTACTGACGGTGGCGCGTATACGTTACGCACAAATCACACTTTTTATTGAGCGGCAAAATCAACGCACACGTTGCTTGATTCGTGCGCTCCTAGTGTTGGTTAAGGCAAATCGTCCGAAACATAAATTCACCAGCGATATTTGGCAGCCGTATGCTGTGTGGGAATACGATCATTTAAATTGGTTACGTCTGGTGCAGGGGCGCCTTTACGAGTTGTATCAGGGTGTGAGCGAGTGTTTCGGTTGGTCTATAATTTCGTTGCTCTTCGGCGCATTTTTCACCATCGTAAGCAATCTATTTTGGTGCATAGAAATCTGGAAATATAATTTCCAGCTTGGCCAGTTCGCATACGATGCGCTAAATATATTGAGAGTAGGCACTTTCGCCGCAATCCTGCTGACCGCAGCCGACAATGCAAGGAGGAAGGTGAGTAGATAATTGTAGTTAGAAAATGGATTTTATTATCTCTTCTGTACAGCACATGCTGATAAGCGGTCTCCTATTCAAGCTACCAAAGCCGCTAGGCAACAAAGTTTACAATGATCTTGTCTCCAACATTGCGCTGCAATGTCTACATCAGGGATTTGGAATCAGCGTCAAAGGATTTTTCAACTTGAATCTATCGCTGCTGGGAGATGTAAGTACTCATAAGGTAGCACGTAAATAAGGAGTACGCACATATTCGTAGGTCTGCCTTTGTGAAATTTTATTTGCAACTAAGATTCGGAAAAGTTCCCCGAAGCGATGTAAAATGAGTAGAAGCTTTGAGTACTATCTCGTCAAGCACGTAACGTATCGAGCGTAAAATGAGTTTCACAAGACCACTCTAGCTTTTTGTCTGTAAAATTTTAAGGTCAGTCACCGATTACGTTATTCGGCGCTCATTTTTTGGCACTGAGGAGGTAGTTTCTATTGCTCATTAAGTAAAATTACTGCTAGCTTGTCTGCCAACAAATTTTTTCTCTAGACAAGTGAGTTATATGTATGTATGTGCCTTAGTATAAAGTCTTAAAGGTCTTCGGCGTATAAACAACGTTCAGTTGGCAACCGAAAGGCAACTTAAAAAGCAGTGTTCGCCTAGAGAGAGACTAGAATCTGATTACGTTTCGTCGACTGAGTGGCTCGTAGTGCCGTATTGCTGCCATCACACGTTCGGCAAAATTGGACATTGGTTTATTGAGCTGAACTCATTCTCGATAAAAAATTTTACACAACACCACTCTGTGACTGCCAAAATGTACAATCTGTACAAATGCCCCAATCGTGTGACTTGGCCTTAAAACTGCGCTGCAACACACACTTCGCAATATATTTTTCCGCACTTCGCAAAGAATTTTTTTCTAATAGCGTTCGCCACTCTGCAGGCGAATGAAAAACAGCTTCCCATAAAAATACAATCGCCGTTCGGCGAATCGGCGTAAAGCTGTAGGTCCCTTCCCTTTGTGTGACAACATTAAAGCGCACGCCACAAATTCGAGGACAAGCCCGGCCAAACACACACATATTTTGTTAGCGGCAATCTACCTGTGACCAAGAAGTTAGTAACTTCATTATCAGAAACTAAGTACTATAAAATAAAAAAATTAAGTGCGCCTGGGTTACATTGGAGAAGTGAAACCTACGTTACATATCTATTTTGTGTCGTAACCAATATACTACATACATACATCTGCTTTTGCTTAGGGTTATATTTTTTGTCTTTTTTCTATCTAGATCCCTACCTCTACCTCTGTTCGTTCTAAACATAATACATTTATGTTATTCTGTTTTCCTTTATCTTAATTTTTATCTTTATACTTTATCGATAAAAAATCGATGGTAACATCCGATAAAAATATCGATAACAAAATCGATGACAAATTCGATGAAAATTTCGATAGCATAATCTATAATAATGTTGGTAACAAAATCGATTACAAAATATCGAAAAAATATCGATAACAAAATCAATAAATATATCGATAACAAAATCGATAAAGATATCGAAAAAAAATCGATTAGAAAATCGATAAAAATATCGATATCAAAATCGAGAGAAATATCGATAACACAATCGACAAATAATCGATAGCAAAATCGATGACAAATTCGTTAAAAATTTTGATAGCAATATCGTTAAAAATATTGGTAGCAAAATCGATTTGAAAATCGATATAAAATATCGATAACAACACTGATAAATAATCGATAACGAAATGGATAACAAAAATCGATAAAAATTTCGATGACAAAATTGATAAAAATATAGATAACAAAATCGATTAATAATCGACAACAAAGTAGATAAATAATCGGTAACAAAAACATATATAATCGATAACGAAATCAATAAAAATATCAATAACAAATACGATAGGAATATCGATAACAAGATCAATAATAATATCGATAACAAAACCAGTAACAATATCGATAACAAAATCGTTAAAAATATCGCTTACAAAATCGATAAAAATATCGATTATTATATCGATAACTTCCGAAAATACCGATAGCAAATCGAAAACAATATCGATAAAAAATTTCGATAACAAAATCGATTAATATGTCGATAAGTCCCGAGAATCCCGAAAATCTCTAAAATCCCAAAACAAATAGTTACCATTTTGAGTCTCTGTGTCTCCATCTATATCCTTTTTTCTATAATTACCTTTATTTTACTCTTTAGTCCTCTATCTTCATCTTTACTTTTATCGGTATCCTCATCCTCATCGTTTTCTTTATATTTATCTTGGCTTTTAAATTATATTTATCATTTTCTTCATCTACATATTCCCCTTTACCCTTGTCCTTATATAAGTAAAGTGTTTGAATTTACCTTGGTCTTCATTTTTGCCTTATCTTTACGCATCCTTGTTTTCGTTTTTATTTTTACTTTTGCCTTTTCCTTTTCTTTATCTATGTACGTACTCACCTTTACTTTCATTATTGTATTGGTATTTTCCTAAGTGTTATTCTTTAACCTTTTATTAGCAAGTTTTTGTTGAATTAATAACATGTGCATACACTCAAGAAGCAATTGTTTCAGCCCCACCCATTTCCGTTGCACCATATCCGTGTGCAATTTCCGTTGAATTGCCAATTTACTCCCAACCAACCAAACGCCGCTAAAGAAGTTTCACTTCAAAAACATTATGTTCGCCAATATAATTGATCTTGTTTTGAAGTAGTTATTAGCGTAATGTTCCATGTTTTAACTTCGTGTACTCATAGTGCCTACGATGTTGTCCACGGACTTGCGGCTGCATTTACGTCTACTTAGCATATTTAGTAAGGTACATTTTCTAAGAAAAAGTGAAGCTTGTCTACAAGTACTTTGATATGGACTCCAAATTCTGAACCAGAGTTGGTTTCACAGTCATTAATAAGGGATATTCTTCCCATCATGCTTCTCGTTAGTGCCTGAGATACGTTAAGTGCCATTTGAAGAGAGATTTCATTCGCCTTTTGCAAACGTGTTCCTCACTGCAGCTTACCTATATTCCAACTTTAATGGTGTTTTCGTTTCTACCAAAAAATGTTGCCTTGTCATCGCCTTCTTCTTAGTGTTTGTGCGTAGAGGGCAAAGAGAAGGTTGCATTTTTCGATAGAAACGAAATGGTCATAAGTTCGTAGGTGAAAAATGTTACGTATACGCACTGTATTTCCTAGTGTAGTAACCTTCGCCATCCCGAGAAATATTTAAATTATGTAGAGTCGCAAATAAATACAGTATCAAATAAATACATATCATTTTAATATAGACTAATTAAGGTTTGTGGTTGTAAAGACGTAGTACGTTAAATAAAATAGGAACAACTTTCGTGCTGCAATGTATATTTTTAAAAAACTTTAATAATTTTGTTTTGTATTTTAGATGATCGCTTTAATAGTTACACACCTGGTTATACTTGTTCAATTTTTACTCAGCGAGGAAGTTATCAGGAAGAAAATATCTTCGTTCAAATTCTTAAGCAATACAACGGGTGGTACTTAAATGAGAATTAAAAGGTCGTGGCTATAAAATAATAAAACGGGGTGCCGGAATAACTATGTACATGGTACATTTGTACGAGGATATGTATATGCATGTGTATGTGTGTATGTTATAAAATACGATTTAATTTCAAACTCCGTACCAATAAGCAATAAAAAAAATGGAAAAACTTTTGCACGAAAAACCGTTTTTAATTTATATTTTTTGTATAAACATATGTAGCGAAATTAGGATTTAAAGTACATACAAGATTCTAAACATTTTCGAAGCGTCCCGAGATTTTCTGAAAGTTCCCAAAAAAATCCGCAATTTTTTTAAGAACCCCGAAAAAATCGCAAAAAGCATCGAAGATTTCCGAAAAACTCAAATGCTCCGAAAAAACCCTGAAAAGTTGCAAAAACTTTTCAAATGGTCCCGATAAAATTCCGAACGATTTCGAAAAAATAGCGACAATTTCCCCAAAAGTTCCGTTGAGATCCCTAAAAAAGTCCCGAATAGTTTCGAAAAAAATCTCGTAAATTTCCAAATGGTCGGAAAAAATTGCGAAGAGTGCAAAAAACAGAGCACGAAGAAGGTTCGTAATTGCCTGCTGAGGGACGAACGCTATTGGAAACAACTTTTTTTAATTGCTCGAACCAGGCATCGAATCTTGGCCACTCGGTTACAAGGACCGCCTAACCGATCTACGCAGGGCTATATATGTAAGCCACTAAAACCACACTTGAGAAAATATTTCAATTGATCGTCGTGGATGCCTCAGTCTCACCATTCTTCCCTTCTACGGAATTACCGCTACTGGAGTTTACCTGCATTACTTGCTTTCCCAGTCAACTACTTCTAGTCAACTCCAAACTCGACGAGGATTTACCGGTATATGAATTTATAATAAAAATACTACAATTTTTGGATCTGGTGCAGATTTTTATTAAAGTGGTGCTTAAAATTTAAGGAACATAATAAGTATATTATACTTAAATATTCGAATACTTCCGATATTTCAAATGCTCACAGCTTTCTCTAGTGGAGTGTACTCACAGTAGAATTTCCAGAATGCACCAACGGATTTTGGTTAGATCTATTCTTTCCGGCGAACATGAACTGGATGAGTATGACCAAATAAGTGACAATAGACGCAACCATCTAGAAAATTTACAAATTTTTATAACTGCAATTGAGTAAATATTATATATTATATAAATAAATAAAACGGTGCGAAATGGCTGTATAAAAAAAAACAATTCGGATACTATAATGTCGAGAAATGTTGAGAGTGAGAAAAAATATTTAAAAGCTTGTTTAGGTACGTTTAGGAACCGACAAAATTAAGATAAAATAAAAAATGCCTAGCGTAATTAAGTAATTGGAGTTTAACAAAAGAAAGTCAAAGAGACTTAAATTGAATAATTCCAAACAAAATAGGCAGGCACTCAACATCTTAAAGGCAATAAAGTATTAAATTGTCTGTTAGAATTAGTACTAAGCATAGAAGTTTTCAGAATTTAGTACCTCCAATTCAGCGCCTCTATTATCAATTCAGCCAACACAAACTGTATCATAAACTTTCAAACACATTTTTGTAGCAATTTAATTCTCTCTTTTTTCTCTCAGCTCTTTGTTTTTGGTATTCAGCGGACTTAATGCTTCTGCACATATGTTAAGTAGTTGTAGAATGCTCTAAGATTTTAATAACTTATTCGGCGCCTCTTTAACTAATTTAGCTCAACGCCAAATGTTTTAATAACTAAATCGTACATCTTTGCAGCATTTTAGTGCGAAAATTTCACATCTCCAGCTCGTATTTTTCTTATTCAGCACAATTTAAGATATTTCGTGTATAAGTTTGATTTCTGTTTAAATGTTATAACGTATTCAGCGCCCTTCTGATAAATTCAGCGCAACAGAAACATTTTTTTTAATTTTACAAACTCAGCTCTTTATTTTACTATTCAGTTCAAGTAAAGCCCAGTTTGGCATTTCGTGGAATATTTCTAAAATTCAGCAACGCTAATTTAACGCAATCAATTTGATTCAGCGCATACTGGATCCTCTTTGTGGCATTTTAGTAAAAATAATTAAGTTCAGTTTCTTCTTTTGGTATTCGGCTAACTTTATATTTATCGATGTATTTTTATAGCATTTGTATAATGATTTTAAAATGCAAAAATTGCAATTCAGCTCTGCTTATCTATTTAAATTCGTTTAATTTTCAGCTAATTTATTATTATGTTAACCGATGTATCGCTTAAGTGGTTGTAAAATGCTTTTTTTAATAACAAATAATTTAATTCAGCTTCTTTTCTCGTATTCAGCTAGCTTTATATTACTCGATGTATCGCTTTATTCCTTGTTAACTTCTTTTTAAATTCAATAACTTTAATTCAGCGCTTTAATGATAACTTATGTTCCTTTAAAACTGTTCATAAGCCTGTTTAATTATATTTTTATCCTAGTAGCACCCAAGTTTTTTAATTCAGCTCTTCTTTTCCGTATTCAGCTTACTGCAAACTATTCATAGACCCAGCTATTCATACTTTTATCTTAGTAGCAGACAAGTTTTACAATTCAATTTTACAATTTTTCGTATTCAGCTTTTCAGAAACTGCTCACAAACAATTAAAATTTTAACCCTACTACTTAGCACATAAAATTTATAATTCAGCTTTTCGCTTTCGTATTCAGCTAAGTTAAACTTGCACGATGTATAAATTTTGCATACTAGTAATGTTTTAAATGCTGAAAAACACTAATGCAGCACACCTGGGATCAATAGATAAATCTTAAAATAGTTTAAAGCGAATTCAGCGCCAAACAAAAATATGTTATTTTTTCGCTGAGCTAACGAAAACCCCTAAAATTGATCCAATTTTATAAACAAACAAAAAAAACTCGTGTTGGATCTTTTTAGGATTTGTAAGGACAATTAGCTCTAATTACCTATACCGATGTGAGGCAGTCGTCAATTGCATACTTACACTGCCCAGTAGATTGAGATTCAAGCTAAAGAATTCTTTTGCTGTAATAATGTATTGTTGATGTAAAGTTTGCAACGAAAAATCGGTGACCAAATCATTGTAACACTTATTGCCCAGTGGTTTGACGAGCTTGAACATAATACAGCCAATATGGCGACTCTGAAATGGAGAGATGATAGAAAGAAAAATCTTAGGTTAGTTAAAAAAGAAGAATTATGAGAAACAATGTTTTTTTTTAGCTCTAAATAAGCTTAGATATATGAATTGCTGAATATATGGAGCACTTTAAAAGCTTTGGAGCTTCCGGAAAAAGCTTTGAAAACTTTCAAGGTTTTGAAACTTTGTTAAAACTTTCAGATTGTGCGTGAAATACATGTTTTTTCGAGCTTCAATTTTATATTGTCGAGTTTTGGTAAGTGCTCGCATTTCTCTAAAATGGATTCAAATTTTTTCTGAGCTTTAAAGTTTTCTATGGAATATTTTTTAGAATGAGAAAGATGTCTTTAAGCTCTACGTAATATGTAGATATATTTATTGACTTTTGAGATCCAATTCGTATTTAGAATATTTCCGTAAACTGCAAAGAGTTGAGCAAACTTTGAAGGTTTGTAAGCTTTTTCGGAGGTTATAAGTTTGTGAAAAAACAAATGTCTTTTCGAGCTTGAATTTTGCTACGGACTCGAAGCTTTTCTTAGCTTTAAAGTATTGTATTCCTATTCAATTTTTTATTCTTAAACCGACGCCCTTTACCCCCTCTCTACCCACCACTCACCTGTTCATGACTATTTTGACTTTGCCAACACAGTACCCACAGTAGTACGACCACTATTACTAAAAATCCCAAATTTCGTATCAAAGTATTATGCTCGGGAAGTCGTATTATCAGCGAAAAAATAACCCAGTAGGAATTTACGATGAAATAGATGAAGTACATAATCATAAAAGCCAGTATGGACCACCCATAGTGCTCGTTAATAGACTTAAACAGATTATGAATATCGCCATAAAATTGTTTGTAGACCCTCAGTCGACGCTCATCTTCTTCTTCACTTGGCTGATTTGTCTTCGGCGCAACGCGTATAATGCCTCCCTTTGCAAAGGCACGTCCACGTAGATAGGGACCAAAAACTCGTTGTATATTTCGTTCACCCATTTCATTCAGATTGATGCGTAATACAATAGCAAATTCATTGAACGTACTTATGGCGATAATCAGATACAAAATACGAAATTGCAGCGTCAAACAGCTCGGTAAATTATGCCAATGTTGTAAATTCTGTGTCAAGGGTGCCGCATAGACGGTCCACGTAAGTACGGTGTGGACTGTAGAGGCTACCACAGTGAAAAAACTTAGAATTGTTAAGATCCAGCCTTGAGTTTTATAACGCCAATACTCGTCGGTCGCAGCCAATTCCTTACTGAAACGCGCTTCAAATTCTACATACAGCTTTCTGATAAGCTCGCATTCAGCATCCATGAGAAACGATTCGAGTAGAACTGCAAGGTGTGCAAGCATTTGCGAAATATAGAGTACGAAATACATGAGGTTACCCATATTTAAATCGGTAGAATGCACATCATACAACAGCGTATAGAATATGATTAGCGACATGAAGAGAATCCAACTGCCGACATAGAGCTTGTAGATGAGTTGAGATTTGGTGAAACTTCGGAGACCCAAGAGGGCACAACCAAAAATTATTATATAAAATATAGCATCAAAGAGGCGATAGAGTACAGTTTTTTCGTTGCTGCGAATATTACTAGCGACCATATTTTTGTTTTGATTTTTAAATGACTTGCTCACAAAGGATTCGTTTTTGATACTAAAAAATATTTAAAAGCCAAACTAAGCCGCCAACCAGAGTAACAGGGATTTAAAAGGTACCTAATTGCCTCATCAATCAAGTTAAAAAAAAAAAAAACAAATAGAATAATGACAATTGGAAATGACCTTTTTAGTACTCAATACTCCACTTTTGAGTAATTTTTTACAAGTCATTCCATGTTTTAGTATAATTAGATGTGAGCTAAATACGGCAAGTAAGAGCTGAAGAAAAAATTATTGTGCTTCAATTTGCTAAAAAACACTTAACTGCTTAACTTAAATAAATTAAAGTGAGCTGAATACAGAAATTAGGAAGTGAATTTTAAAAATTTCGTTTTACTATGCTTTCGAGGTGAGCTGAGTAGGGAGTAAGCGCTGAATTAGAAAAACTTTATTTACATTGCCTTCTAGGAAAGCTGAATACAGAAAGAAAGAGCTGAATTTATAAAAATATATTTAAGCTTACCACAAAAACGCGCGCTGTGTCTGCTTAACTACTACAAGTAAACAAAAGTGAGCTGAATATGGAAAGGTAGAGCTGAATTAGAAGAATGCTTGTAAATTTAGCTTACTAAGTAAGCTGTATGCGGAAAGGAAGTGCTGAATTGGTTTTGTTTACTTTTATTTTTTAGTAAAGGCACAATGTTTTAAGTAATGTCTATTAATTTCCATATTTAGCTTACTGCAACTTGAAAAGGGAAAATAAAAGCAGAATTAGAAAAAAAAACAATTATTTTACTTTGTACGTAAAATCTACTAATTTTTATAATTCAGCGCTTACTTTCTATATTAAGCCCAATTGAACTTATTGAAAACTTTGAGCACTGTAAATTTAATTTACCTAATTCAGCTTTTGTTTCAATAATTTAGCTGTCTCCCGAAATTTTTCCAAATTTTACAAACCTATATGTACTGCAAAACAATTTTTCAGCTACATCAAATGAAAGTCAGCTAGTATTTTAGTATATTGTCAGTATTTTATAAAGTCTTTGTATTTGTCTATGCACATTTGTCGAAAGCTCTCATTTAGCTAAATATGTACGCAATTAAGCACGTTCAGCCATATTCAGCTCAACTAAAAGTTGATTCATGTTCTTAACTTGGTCGCTCGATCAAGTTAATTGTATTGAGTATTGTGTAAATGTATATATTCAGCTCAGTAAAGTGAAAAGATTTGATATACTCGCTTTAGATTTTTCATTCAGCTAGAGTAAATGAAATCCAACAAGTATTTAAGTTGATTTTCAGTGTTTTTCAAATTTATCTTAATGTTAAGAAATGTATTGTTCGCAAAAAAACTTTATTCAGCTCGCCTTATGATATTCAGCTGAGCATTACCGAGTGTAAAATTTAAATAAACTTTCGCATACTACGAAAATTACACTTCAAGTGTATTCAACTCAATTCAGCTAACTTGAATCTCTAGCACAATAAATTTTTGGTTTACTAGTTATTTACCAGGTTAGTTGGTGGTCACAACCATCTTCGAAATGCTACGCAGATTGGTACCATTCAGTTCACAAACACACTAAGTGGCATTCAATTTTACAAATCTATTAACATAAATTTTAGCATAATGCATATTCAATTTTGCTATACATTTAAGCGATCCGTTCTTGAATACAACCAACTTTATAAAGGCATTCGGTCCTATTTAATTTAATTCAGCTAACTTGGATTTTCAGCGGAAAGAATATTTGATAGAATTATGCTCTTATTATCTCAGTTTGTGAACACAACCAATGCAAAACCGCTATTGAACACAATTCAGCTCTCCCAAATATTCTGCGTCATGCACATTTAAATATGTACATGAGCCGAGTGGTTAGAGGTTCGCACTACCACTCCGGCGGACCTGAGTTCAATTCCTGGTCCGAGCAACATCTGAAATTAAAAAAGTCTAACAGCGGGCGTCCCTCGGCAGGCAATGGCCCGCCATTTATGTTACAACATTAAGACATAAATCAAAATATTTTTATTATTAAACTCAATTCAGTCAGCATGCTTACTTGATTTTTATTGCAAATTCAATGGTTTCAAATAAATAAATAAATGGAGTTGTAGAAGCCTCTTACCTTTTTTGCGCTTTTTTCCGTGCACCAGAACAGTCCTATATATAGATCCAATAGGCATTAGATATAGATCCAATAGGCATTGCAAGTGAGCTCAAAACGACTGCTTCATAAACGCGTCCGTAAATTAGACGAAGCGCATTTAACTCCTCGAACTCCCACTGCTCACAGGGCCGCCAGATGGCACGGGTGTACTTCGATTTCCGCTCGCTATTTAAGCAATCAACTTCCTCAGAGTTAACTCCATTTCACACGGTCTACGGTGGCGCACTGCAGCAAGGCGATAATGGGACAAGTGGACGTTACGGGTGTGTTTATATACATACATATGTACGTACATATTTATGTAATTGAAACTTTTTTTGGCTCAATTGGCATGACTTAGCTAGTACCATGTGAATTAGGCTAATGGTCAGAAGCATGGGCATGTAGAAGCGACTCAGGAATTTTATTGTTTCCCTCCTTTGTTCTCTTTATGTTGTGGCTTTGTTCAAATTTAAGAAAAAGTCAGCTTAACTTGGTGATAACATAACTATTTATTTTTATAATAATTCAATGTGATATTCTCTCAATTAGTTCCACTTGTAAACGTTTTTGTAAACATGTTTATACGTACATATTGTACATATGTTTGCATTTATACTCTAACAATCATCGAAAAAATTTGGCGTGTGAGTTTTTAAATATTTTACGAAGAATTGTTCGCAAAATGGTAAAAGAATAAGGAACTCAAAAAGTTATTGAAAGTGTTCTAACTAAAAAAAAAGTTTTAAGGTGTGTACAAAAATTACCAAAATTCTTTTTTTTTTAATTTTCGTTTTTTTTTAACAGCATAAGCTTTATTAAAAACGATTTTCAAACAAAAAATGCAATATTTTTCAATATTGAGTTTTTCTAAATATTTTTTTTTTATTTAAATATATATTTTTAAAAATAGAAAAATGTATATTTTTTTTAATTAAAAAAAAATATTTTTAAAAATTAAAAATTAATATTTTTATTTTCAACAATAATTAGCAAAAAACCAAATATTTTTGTTTTCACTTTTTTTTGCGTAAATATAACAAATCAGTTCAATAATTTTATAGAGCTTGAGGCGTTTTTAATGACAAATTATTGTGGAAAACAACAACAGTTTCTTCATCGATTGCCGAAGAGCACAGAAGAGAGTATTTTGGTGTCAATCACAAACAATAGAAGTTTGTGATATCGAACTATTCCCACAGCCTACAATGAACATGAAAATTACTTTGTAGGCATATGAATATGACAAAGAATATGAATATGGATATAAAATGAATACTAATATAAATTTGAAATATATATGAAAGGAAATTGAATATGAATATGAATATGGAAAGGAATATGAATATGAATATGAATATGAATATGAATATGAATATGAATATGATTATTAATATGAGTATGTATATGAATATGAACATGAATATGAATATGAATATGAATACTAATATGCATATACCAGAGTTGTGAAAAATTCATCAATTTTTTAATGCATTGTAATGTACTTAAAGCAATAATGTTATGTAAAAAATTAATGTATTCATTTTTAAAATTTAATACAAATAAAAATTTCAATGCATTAACTCTAAAAAAATATAATGCTAATGAAATTTGTTTTCATTAAATTAGCCAAACAAATGCTAATGAAAAAATGTTAATGCATACAAATTTTTAATGATTTTGCTCGTTTGCATTAATAAAAACCATTAATTTTTTTTCTTTTGGGAGGACTTCGAATAATTACTAATAGATTTTTCAGCTTTATTCCATTATGTTTATTTGTAGAAAAATTCGTATAAACATAATTAGATGTTTTATGCAAATAAAAGCAATGTATGTAGATTTTTTTGTTGATGGTCGATGCATACCGATTTATATTAGAGGGCAAAAACGGAAAAATAGCCAATTAAGCAGCACATGTACACAAATGAAGACCTATTTTGTTCAATAAACCGTAATTCAGTTCCATATGACAATAGGGCTGTTCAGAATGTTGTGAAAATGGTCCTGGATTTGCAGTTAGAATTGCATTTGCAAACTTTATGCTTGCTGTCATGGCAACCGTGTGTTTTTATTGTTGTGAATTTACAAATGCAAGGAATGTGCAAATGCAAGAGCATATGCACTAGATCCTGAACAGCCCTAATGTGTTTTTACCTATTTGGGACAATTGCCATTTAATTCCAGCCTTAACTTCCGCCACTATCTTTTTTGGCCTCAAAATTCTACCCTCAACGTCAACAAAGAATTTTTACTTTAAAATAAAATTAGTTAATGGCTTTTTAATGCATGTTATACTTTTAATGCAATAAGTTATGCAGTAGCATTTATTTAAAAATTGTAATGTTAACGCAAACTAAATCATTAGCATTCTTTCTTCGGAATTAATGCATTTAAATTTTCATTCCATTAAATTTTAAAAATTAAAGCATACATTTTATACATTAACATTAAAATGCTATGCATTATACATAAATTTAATGTATTTTTCACAACTCTGGCATATACTATAAATATGAGTATGAAAAAATTTCAGAAATAATAAATGTAAACATTCCAAAATAATGTTTTTTTTTTATTAAGAAAAATAGCATAGTACAGAACATAACAGTTAAGTTTAAATTAATATAT